CAACATAATACAGACACTAATAGGCCAACTAATATAGTACTGTAATAGATCCAATACCATGTATTCGTCATTGGCAAAAACACAGTCAAGTAAGTGCTAAGAAGCTGCAGACTGGCAGGGATCTCACTTGAGGGCAACGCCTAGCTTTGGGCTCGTTTAAGAGAGGGTTTGCATGATCCCAGCCACACTTTTTAACTGAAAGGCTGCCCATTTCACCACTTTTTAATAATGATAGTTATGCTGTCGACAAAATCGACAAAAAAATCCCCTTGACACGGTGGCATGTGTTGTATTCACCGCTGTTACTCCGCACTGAAAAACTGAAAAAGTCCCATTCTTAGTTTAGTTTTAGAAAGTTTTACAGCACTTGCAACACATGCAAGTGCCGAAGATTAGAGACGTTACAAGATTGTAGCAAACACAAAAAAGGAGAGATCGGGAGGATAGATGTTTGATGGGAAAGAAGGAGAAAACCAAACCAGAGCACTCGCCAAAGTCACATTCCCTGCAAGAGGCGGGTAGCTTCAGATGTGTCCCTGCGACAACAACATCGTTCTGAAAGGAACTGTGTGGCTTCAACACCACAGGCAACGACGTTAATGTCAACCAGCCCTCACTTCTTCTACCCCCACTCTCAAAATTATTCACACAAGGGAGAATGTACAACCTGGCCTTGGAAATTATATTATGTATTCTATTGAAAATGATTAATTACATTTATTATGCAATGTTTTGATGCACTGCAAAAACAGCGATGGATGAAAGCTCATTCTTAGGAAATCACAAGGAGATGTTCACCAAAATGATGGTCACTATTGATTGAAAAATTTCATTCGAAATAGAACTATTAGAACTATGTAGGGCCTATAGCCAACAGCTAGGGAGTTTGCGACAAGACAATTCAAACCCTCCATACTTCAGTTTCTTTGCAGGCATTCTAAAAAATGGCGAAAAAAATAGTTTTCAAAATCATAGTTCAGAGTAACAAAGCACATATGCTAGAGTTTTTTCTAATTTAAATTTTAGTAGAGGTTTTACGGCGCTCGCAACTGCATAAAGTCATATGAGTGCCAGAAGATTAGAGGTGTTACAAAAAAGAAGAACAGGAGATAAGGACGACAGATGTTTGATAGGAAAGAAAAAGCAAACCACACCAGAGCACCCGCCAACCACCCACAGCTAGAGTTTGCTTCATTCAATAAATTACAAGTATAGTATTGGACCCATGAATCAGTTATGATACAGATGAAGGCTCCATTAAATTACCATTGTCTAGAGCAGTAGAATTTAGGTAAATTACTGTATCATGAATCATGTCTGTTTTTAAGACTCAGTACTTCACACACCAGAGAAATACATGTAGACAACACTCATGAGTATCAAGAGTATATTTTATTTGGTATATCTATTAGTTTGCATGGATCAGGTTTCATACCAGATCGAACTGAACAAAGCATCAATGATCAAGTCAATTTAATGGTTTATCCATAAAAACAGTGATGCTTTCAATGTTGACACAAGATGAAAATACAAACACGTCAATAGAAAAGACTTGAAACAGTTCTGGTTTTACTTTGTTTTTTGTAAAGTCTGTCCCTCACATGGCATAAAATTTGCAGAAATCAAAATAGCAGTCAATGAGAACCATATCTCATCCTTCTTCATTCCACAACTTTTTGAACAAATTTTCAACAAACGTCAGGATTGTCCCCCAAAATAAGAGCATCCATAACATACTTGCAAATAGGGCATTTCAAGGTACAAAAGCATTAAAGCCATAAAGTGATCATTTGGACAGTTGCATGACAAATGGGTTAGTTTTTTCAGCTTACACTTATGAAGAGATCAAGAATGGCCAGAGGCACAAAGTTAACAATTAAAGGTGTGGCAATAATGCAAAAGGCACAGAGTACAGAGGAGAAGGGAGAGAAGAATAAAACACAATATCATGTAAATAAAATGAAAAGAACATTGAACATTCAAAGCTCCTTATCATTCTGGATAAATGACACATGTATTCAATGCATATATATATAAAAAATATAGGGGAATAATACTTTTAAGAAAAAAGAACAGTGTTCATGTCAAAAGGCATTGGTCATCATCTCAGCTCTTGATAACAAGACACAATGGCTCTGCCTCGTCAAATCTTTGGAACAAAGAAAAGCATCTATAAAGAGTTCAGCCAAAGAAGAGAACCAGTAAAATACAACACATCTGTCAGCTGTTCAGATGTACTAAGACCAACATTTTTTTCTCTTTTCCTTGCACTTTCTAAATCTGTGGTATCTGCTCCATGTGCTCAAGAAATGTTTTGTAGAAATTCAAATTCTAGATGTTAGGCCTAGATACATAATCTAGATACAAAAATGAAACAATTTCTTCCACCTCCTGAAAAATTGTTTTCAAGGCTTCAAACACTTGAACAGCTTGTTAACTACTGATATTTCTGTTTCCTCTTCACTCAATAAATTTGTTATGCCACCACCTAGAGTAGTCCGTGACCCATCAAACATACTATAGCCTCGCTCTAAGAAACATCAGTGATCTGATTGATGACATATGCTGACATGGAAAGCCATAAGTGACTTTTTTTTTTTTCCAAATTGAAGACTATTATAAAATATTGCATATTTGGCTTACATATAATATGGTATAAATTACATTCTTCTACTTGGTAAGGCAAAACAGTACTTTTAGCGATTTGCAAAATTTTGTGAATGAGATGAGGGTACCATATATTTCCATTTCTTTCTTTAACTCAATCAGTGCTACGGATGAGAATACTCGCAAAACCTGGGCCTCATCCACATGCTAGCGAGGAGTATTCTCGCATTCTGCCTCGCTATCTTTATAGAAAGAATTACTCTGTGTAATCTATACCAAGTTATTTGAACTTATCGTGACCCATTACGGGAATGGTCAAGGAGACTTTTTTTCTGCTCAAACAGCCATTTAGCCCACTAGATATAGGGTTATTTTCCTGGGTAGACCTAATTTCATGTTGCTATAACAAAACTGCCTGGTATATGAGGGGTGTTCACTGCTGGAGTGCTCAGCACTGAATGAGTTAAGTAGGATATCTGAATAATACTCTTTGACACTGTGCAACTTTGGAACAATATTTTGTACATCTGACAAAAGTGTGCTGCAGACTGAATGGGAAAAGCCAATAAAGAGAACAGGGAAACAAATAAAATCTCAACAATCACATCTTTTCAAAACTTCTGATGATTATGTACCCTACTCTAGACAGCAATATCTTGAAGTACTCTTGATGACATGTTAACAAATACAGTGCTTCCACCAGCTGAAGTTGAAAAGTAAGGAAGATTCTGCCGGGGGTCTGGGGGCCGAAGAAATTGAAATGTAGCTTTTAGAGGGCTGAAAATGGCACTTGGGAGCCTGTTTCAAGAGATTGCCAACAACCCATACTACCTATTTTTTCACCAAGATTTTGTCTTGTTTGATTTCTTCACCTACATATCTTTCCATTGCTGGCAATGTTTAAAAGCAGGTTCCCCTTCCATTGCTACTATGATTCAATTAATTTTGTCATCGCACCATTGATAGAAGGCAAACCTGGGAATAATGATAGATATGTGGGCCTACATTCATAATACAGTAACCCAGCGTATACCCTAATTTTCCTCAATTTTCACGTCTGAATGTCGCATGTCACAACCTCGGAACACCACTTCGAATCATTCTTGATTTTAGTAGTTTTAGCTCAAATTTCTTTCATCGCGGCCCTTATCGCGTTCCTGTGCCTTAGAATTTTCGCACTGATAATTTCTCTAGATCTAAACAATAAATTTGGAAAAAAGTTTCTTTCTGACAGCAATTTTCTGTCTAAGAAGATCACAAGTCAATATACTGGATCAATGCGCAGATTTTCCAGCCGCTGCAACAAAGTTCGCCAGATTTTGATCAATCTGCAGGTAAAAAATGTACTGCCAACCAACCCGTAATAAATGCATGGGGCATAGAGGAATAATGGCTGATGGCAGGAAACGCGCCATCTGGCAGGTTTCTATTATAACATAAACTATTGCCGAGAGAATTGCCGTAAATATCCGTAACTTATACTTATACAAGACGATATGAAGAAGGCGAGTACGGATCTTTTGCTACGGAATTTCGGTAGTCCCACGCTGTCGCAGATTTTTACGGAGGGAATGGATAATGATGGTGGAACAAGTACGGAACTGGCAGAAAGTACGGATTTCCGTAAAAATACAGAAGAGTGGAAGCACTGAAATACCTGGAACACTGTACATTAAATGTTTCAGCCCCATGCACGTATATTTTCAGCAGTGCTTGTACCTTCCATCGTCCCAAGAGCGTATACTCTCAATTTTGGGGGATACCGAATTTGCTCATTTTTCGAAATTAGTGAACCAAATTAAACTTTAATTTTCATATTTGTTTATTTACCTTTAAACATTGTTATATGTTATTATCTAAACCACATTACTAAGATACTACATCACTTTTTAGAAGGCATGCCTCTTTTTTCTGAAATACTACTGCATCGGCTGAGACTGGAGTCGGGGAGGGCAATTCAGAAATGAACATTGAGGAAGCTTCTTAATTTGACTCTAGTGAAAGGATCAGAATTCTGATTAACCGACCAGCTAGATTTATGGACAGTGGTGGATCAGCTGTCTAAGGCAGCACCATCCAGTAAAAAGAGTAAACCGTACTTTGACCGGTTGCATTACAAAAGGAGCACAGTGCAGTATATCTGTTCAGGGAAATATGAAAATCACTTCTTGAATAAACACAAAAATCTTCATTGATTTTGTCTGGTTAATAAGACAGTCAGAAGAAAAAAAAAGGCAGGAAGGCACACTGGCGACATCAAAGTCACAAAAGAATCTGATACCTGAAGTGAACTAAAACACAGCAGAAGAGGAAAAGAGGGTGGAGCAGCTGTGGCATTGCTCCACCTGCAATGATACCTATTCCCAAACCAAGTAACCAAGTAACAGAAGAAATATAGTTTAAGGAACAACTTTAATTTATTAGACAGACAACAGAATTGTATTGGTCAGTTCATTTAACATAATACTGTCTCCATTCATTTTTTTGAATAGGGCGCTGCTTTGAATGACTATCAACCCTATCTATGACAGGAAAGCACACAAAAATGTAGAAATTGCTTCTTGTTGTTGTACTGTGGCACTCAGGTATCCAGTAGTATATGAGGGTGACTGCTAGCAGCGGGCAGCAAACCACAGCACGGTGTTCATCATGCAGTCTGCTTCAGCATCAACCTCTGCAATACTGTGGTTGTTCCCTGGATATGTCAAGTACCTAGGAAAAAAAGCACAAAGTCTTGTTTGAATAAAAAAAGCAAACGCATACGTACGTAGTCTAAACAGCCGTATGCACTGCTCACCGTCGAACGCTCCGTATCCCGGACTCTAGCATGGAGATCATCAGGAGAGAATGCGTCGCTGTTTCGGGCTCTTCCTCTCTACAGCTTTTCTGACGCACCGAGCCCCCTCACCGATGTGAGGTCTCCATGTTAGTTCGACTGTTTTCCTCTGCTGCCAACTTTAGGATTCATTCCAGCTTGAGTCCTCTCGCTTCAACCAGATCCAATGACTGGCTTTCTCTGCTGTCTCCTGAAGGGAGTTTGTGAGTTCGTTGCTTTTCTTTGCAGTAAGTCCTGCCACTCTCATCCACTTACGGGCGCTTGTTGCTACAAAACCTCTGCATCCTACCTCTACCGGAAAATGGGTTGCCTTCCATCCTGCCTCCTCACATTGTTCGACGAGTGCCTCGTAACGGTTTTCTTTCCGCTCATGAGCGGCATAGATATTGTCCTCGTGGGGCACCGTGAGCTCTACCAAGTGTACCTCTTTGTCTTTTTCCTCCCATAACACAATGTCTGGCTTTTTCGTAGTTGGAATGGGGAAGAATCTATCAAAGCCTTTTAAGTCAGCAGCTACTTCCCATGTTCCTCCGCTCTGGTCTTTCATGGCTTCGTTTCCTTTCTTTTGGCAACCTTGCTTCCTTGCGGAACGAACGCAATCTTGGTGGGTCCATGCTTCTGTATCTTAGGGGCATATTTTCCTTCTTCCACCTGTTGTGTCGCCATTTTCGTGAGCACTTTCAACACCTCGTTGTGTCTCCAGGTGTATCTGTTAAGAGCTAGGTTGCAGTTTGACAAAATATGCTTCATGGTTCCTAGCTTACCGCATCTACACTTGTTGTCCTCCTGTACCTTCCATCTGACAAGGTTCACCGGTGAAGGCAGAACATCATACGTAGACCGGAGAAGAAAGCTCAGCCTTGATGTATTCCACTTCCAGATGTCACTCCACCCGACTTTTCTTTCCACAACATGCTCTTCCCATCTGGTCATTTGTCCTTGCTGGCTACACTGGATGAGATGAATTTCTCGCCTCTCTGCCTCCATCTTTTGCATATGTCTTGTTGCAGCTTTTCTTCTGTCTCGCTGAGACATTTTCCTGAAAGGTCTAAAGTCGCCATTACCTAGCCCTAATCTGTCAGGTTGCGCTGGACCGACAATGTCCCCGTGCTCCAATGCAGAGATGATCTCGTTAGCTGCAACTTCTGCCTTCCACTTTCTGGCTGTTTTGACATCTGGAGGTTTTCCACTGATCTCCTTATCCCTTGATTCTCTCAACATCAAAACGGTTCTAATCTTGCCTGCTTTGTAGATCTCCACAATTGACGTGAGAGGTAGTTGAAGCGCACCTCTATGTCTGTACAGGGATGACGTGTTAATGGTACGGGGTAGCCCCAGCCACTTCCTGATGTAGCTGTTACACTTTCTTTCGATCATCTCAACTCTTGACAAAGCAACTTCATACATTGTCAGTGGCCACGCCAATCGAGGGTAGAGGGCAAACTGTAGACACCATATCTTGTGCTTTCCTGGAAGCTTTGTCTGGTCAATTGCTTTCAGCCCATTTTCAGCCTGCTTCATGATTTCCACGCCTTGACTCCTATCAGACAGAGTTCCTGAGTACCACCGACCCAAACTTTTCACGGGTTGTTCTTTTACTGTGGGCATTTGCTCCCCTGCAATTGTGAACTTCAGTTGCTTCTGTTTTCCTTTGTTAATAGTCAGGCTTCTAGACTTTTTAGCTTTAAACTTCATCCTGGCCCAGGTGATAAGCTTATCGAGCCGATTCAACACACTTTGCATTGTGTCTCCATCTCTTGTCAGTAGGGTCACATCATCCATAAAGGCTTTCTTTGGTGATCTCACCTTTGCTTCTTCTTCACAGCATTCTGCAGATCTCAGTAGCATCTCCATTACCAGGATGAACCAGATGACCGATATAGAGCAGCCAGCTGCAATCCCAATCTCTAGTCGGTGCCATTCCGTTGTGAAATTTGCGGTTGAGAATCGCATCTGGAAGTTACTATAGTATTCTCTCATAATGTTTTGCACCTCTTGTGGGACGTAGAAAAAATCCATTGCCTTCATCAGCAATTTATGGGGAACAGACCCGTAGGCATTCGCCAGATCCAACCACACTACGTTTAAACTTTCCTTGTTTTTCTTGGCCTCTTGGATTGTGTCCCAAATGGTGAAAGCATGCTCGATGCAGCCTGGGATCCCTGGTACCCCGGCTTTCTGTACCGTTTCATCCACATAGCCGTTACTTTGCAAATATGCTACAGTCCTCTTTGCAAGTATTCCCATAAAGATCTTGCACGTCACGCTGATGATTGAAATAGGTCTGAACTGTCCTATCTCCTTTGCATTCTGTTCTTTGGGTAGATACACGCCCTCCGCTCTGCACCAATCTTTGACGATTTCTTTGTCTTTCCAAAGGCCTCTTAGCATCTCAAAGAGGGTGTGTCTCAGCGTGTCGCAATACTTGAACACCTTATAAGACACGCCATCTCCTCCAGGTGCACTTTTTGCTCTTGCTTTTTTTACGAACTCATCTACTTCTTTCTCTCTAATTGGTCCCAGGTAATATTTGACGACGGGGGCAGCTGGACGCTTCAGGCCTCTCATATAAGGAAGCGGTTCTTCTCTTCTTGAATCGCTGTACGTCTGCTTAACATAAGCATCGAGTTCCTCTTTCGTACATTCCAATTTACCACTCCGTGCCTCTGTGAACAGTTTTTTTGCTGCTTCATAAGGATTCTTCAGAAATTGTTCACGTTCCCTTTTTCTCTCTTTTCTCCTGGTACACCTTCTTTCGTGCCTCTGTAGGTCTCTGTTCTTTTTCTTAAGATCTTCAAACAAGATTCTTAGGCCTTCTATCTCTTCTGGTGGTGCGTACTTTTTCTGCTTTTGCAAGTCTCGTTTCTGTTTTCTTAGCTGTGCAAGTACATATAATGTTATATAGGCCTCTGCCCCCCCTCCCCCCCCCCGCCCAACTCAAATCTCAAATAAAGATGAGACAGCACAATTTGAACCTGTCAATGGTAACACTGAAAACACCATTATAATAAATGACACAACATATGTGGCATGAGGTTAATGCATTTAAGTCTCCAGGTTACAATGTATCGCATGCCAGGGGTGAGATACGCCATTATGACACCTCTTTGCTTTGTTTATTTTAGCATTCAGAATAAATTATTTGCAACATAATGCCATTCTGCATTAGTTTTTCTTGAAATTATTCATATCCTTGGATGTAGCTCTCTAGTGATGAACAACCCCCCCCCCCAACTATTTTTAGAATTTTATTGTTCCAGTCTGATGCAGGACAGATATTGGCATTTAGTGCTTTACATACAGAAGTACAAGTTAGCACAGTTGCAGTACCTCCTTTGAATTTCAAAAGACCTATCTCCAAACAGTAGGTCTTCAATTCTTTTCTTAGTGTGCTAAAGAAATAAAAAGATGGTGAAGTTGTTTAACAGTCACATGAGCAAAACCAGTAAATTATCACTTGGGTAAAATGAGTGCTGTGAAAGCTGAATGATTACTACAGATACTGAAAATAGACAACAGAAATGTGGTATCGTGGGAGACTATTGAGAATTTCAAGAAAGGAAAAGCAATCAAATGAAGTAGAGCTGAAACAAGTTGAGAAAATAAGTACACAAACCTGATGGGTACACCTCGAGATCGCAGGGCTCTGTAGTACTCTATGCCTTGTGAAATGGGAACCCGTTTGTCCTCAAGGCCAATCATCATCAAAATTGGTGTCTTCACCTGTGCAAAAAAAAAAAAGAAAGTAAAAAAAGACTGCATCCATTTCTGAGGACCTTTACAAAAAAAAAATATCAGCTAAAAGCCACAAAGCAGCAGTAAAAGTTTCAATTAAGAAGTCAAGCAAACAAAACCAAAAATAAATATGTTGTTGAACCTGCCACACCAGCATCCCGTGAGGCTGGGGCAGTGGCAAATGGTGTTCTACATAGATTCTGAGGAATTGTTTAGAGCTGATTCTTCAAGTGCAAAAAGCCACAGGAGAAAGAAAGCGTTACAATCTGCTGTCCACCGGGGAGGCATATGTTGATTACTGTTACTATTACTGATCTCATAATCCACGAGGATCGTAGGGGTGCTGTATGACAGAGAGCCTCATGAGATGCCTCCACTTTTCATGGTTTTTTGCCAGTGCCTGAGTTTGGGTGATACACACGTACAATTCCCAAGACTTCTGAAAACCTTGAGGTTTCACACTCAAATGCAACCAAAATCTATCTTCGGTCCTGTCAACAGCTGGAAGGATGGACTTTGTAAAGACTGCTGGTAACGATCAATTATGGGCTTCTCACATAATCATTACTGCACAGACACAGGCAGCAGTGAGTAATGCGTGGACAGGCAACAACGAAGAAATGAGGATGGGTGTGGCTATGAGTGTGATCAAGAGAGGAAAACAATTTGTGATTCAGGTATTGGACAGAGAATGATGCCAATTGAAATTTGTTGTTCCTTTGACAACTTCCTAGGGTCTATACTCTCCGTCAAAATGAAGTCCCTGCTCAAGGTGGAAATTTTGTCCCACTGTTTTGCAGTTCTGTTTTAGACCGGTTCACTTGGAAACAAAGAAGAGAAAAACATAAAGGAAGAACTCATCAAGTCACCCTTGCCACCAAGTAAAATTAATATGAATGAGCCCAGTATGGTTCTCTCATCTAACAAATATTATATTGGCAACCTGGAAAACAAAATTTTTCTGGCGAGAGAAAAACCCCCCACGATTTCATTAAAATAAAACATTGTATTTATATTATGTATGTTTTCTTGTTCTTTTCAAAAGTAAAATATTTCTTGAACACATGCAAATGACACTGCAACAAATTTTAAAAAAAAATTTCGACTAAGTAAATCTTAACAGCTAGCTGATGATTTGTATGAGGCCACTGACAAATGATCTAAAGTCATTACAATAATAGGAAGATATTTCAAGATTTTTAAAAGGTTCAAGTCAGGACTCACAAAGATTTTCTGACATTATGTCAGGACTACAGCAAGAACTACTGCTTGACAGAGTAAAAGGTTTAAGACATCCAACACTAGAGACGTCAGTTTAAATACGTCTCTTAAACTTTGACTTCATTTCTCATTATCTACACCAATGTCAATTAAATATTTCAAAACATGTTTATGATAGTAACAATGACTTGCCTGTTCCACATAAGACAGAGGAGATGCCTTCCATAGTTTGTTCAGAACCTTATCATCACACAGAGAGTTGTAATCAAACTCAATTCCCATCTGAGCAAATGTCCTGAAAACAGCACGAGTAAGAGAAAAACAAATCATCATCAAATCAAATATAGATTCATTAATGAAATATATAGGCAAAAACAAACAATACAAAATCTACACAAAAGTGTAGAGTGCATCAGATGCACAAAGAATTTAACAAAAATGTGAAGAATTCTGTAATAATCCTGGATATTTAAAATCATTGAGTATAGTGAATAATTGTAAACATTCTAATACTATGCTGTAGGTAAACTAAAAACAAGCCAATCAATACCATGTAATTTACAAAGAAAGCATATAAGCATCCAAGGATAGAAAATCTTTAAAGACAAATGGATGATTGACTCTTTCACATAGCCAAAGAATAAATGTTTTGCTTTCAAGACAGAAAACGATTAATAATAATAATTATAACAACAATAATAATATACGGCATTTATAGGCATTTAAAGGCCCAAAGCAAAAAAAAAAGAAAGAAGAAAAACAAAAAAATGAAAACCTCATAGACAGCATTTAATTCCAAAACACCTTCGTAGTCGGACTATACTATTAAATTTGCACACTTTCCATATCCAATAGATATCCAAAGCATTAATTGAATTTTATGTAAGTAGGATTTGTTCACAAAGGTTATAGTAATACAGAGGTGCTTGAAAAACTAAGAATTTTCAAACAATTAAAAAAAATATTAAAGAATCTTATTTTTTGCGGAAATCAAGCATGACAACTACTGGTTGACTATTGTAATAACTTTAGTAACAAGTTTTAGAATTAAAATCAGATAAAGATATTTAGGCACACCATGAACATTGAAGAAAAGCAGTTTACATAGGAAGCGGCCGAAAGTTTCATGAATGTGGGGAATGACTATTCCAAGCAATCTTATACAACAAAAGCAATAAACAAGTTAAAAAACTAGGCATAGGGAAGGCAACACATTAACTCTTTCACTGTTGAGCTTTTCTTTCCTGAAGGAGCAGATATTGAAGACCTTATAGACATTGTCTCATCAAATTAAGTGACAAATGGTTGTGATACTATGATTTGACACCAATGTAAGCTCATATAAATATCAAGATAATGAGGAAATATACCACACTACTGAAGCCTATGGTTATCAGTTATACTAAATATCTTTAAAACTATAACATAATGCCTGAATATAAACATGCAGGGAGACTCAGTTGAGTTGGAGTATAGCTGTGGCACTGTAAAAACAAATATTTCTGTGCAGGGGTCCAACTGAGAGCGGCCTAACTGACTGTTCAGAGCTTTAATCACAGTAAATAATATTCAGCTATACTGGGTGAGATATCCGAGCGTTGACATACTGTATCTGGTACATATAAAATAAAACAGAATACATCTATTGTTTCGTTTTTAAAAAAAATAAGAATGATCAGCTTTCAGTGGCAAAAAGAAAAGAGCAAACAGCACAAAATGAACATGTATTTTTCACAAGACTACTAAAAGTACAAGTATCAGAGGACAAATTGTGTGAAATACCAGAAGAGATATCAGATGTTTTGCTTATTTTCAAGCTATCAAAGTGAAAAACAGCATTGAAATATCTCCTAAAAATCCAAAACTGTACCTTAATAGTTAAATGAACAAAATTAAACCAGGGATGGTATGTACTATGAATCCTCTCCATAAGTATGCTTTTCATGATTACGTTAGGAAAATGAACGTTTTTCAATATAACAACAATTATGTTTAGAGCCAACAAAACAGGTAAGAAAATGCCCATAGCATGTAGGGAAAACAATAGCAATTAAAAGAACACTAATTAGAGATCAGTATTAGTGGTCCGTGTACTTTCTTTTAAATCAAGCTCAAACTCACAATCAAATGTTATCTTCAAAGAACTTCAACAGAGTACAATCAAAATATGTTCTCTCCTCTTAAAAGGGAGCTTTAAAAAATCAGAGCGTGGAAGGATGTGAAAGGAACAATCAAATTATGCACAATATCTCTTTTTAAAAAAAATCTGTTTAATTGCCTAAATGAATAAATCATCCTCCATCAGATCAATGGTCACATTTCTGAAATCTGTGACAAATTTCGGTATGTGAAATGTGTGAAACTTAAATCTTTAAAGATAAATTCACGATACTGTTGTTCTTGTACATCCCCAAAAAAGCCACTCTAATCAGTTTGATAAAGCATAAGATTAATAAAATGGCAGCAAAGAAACAGTCAAGAACTATTTTAACTCACCAATCATGAATGTCTGTTTGTGAGAACATGGCTGAAATGATGTAACAGGAATTAAGTAAAGTGTATGGTTGAAGTAATCAACACTACAGCATCACAGAACTAAAGACAATTATACAGCACATCCAGCAAGAGTAGCACATCCAATTGTGTTGTGTACATAGGGCAGTAACACAAAATGGTCACTAGTATTTCTACACTCATATTCATTCAATTTTCAGAATAATACACCCATACACGAACCAGCAAAGCCAGCCAAGCTCTCGGTAGACTGAAAAACAAGGTACATGTACTAAAACAGCACAATGTCCGGCTGTCAACAAAAATCAAAGTGTACAATGCTGTTGTGCTGTCCTCCCTCCTCTACGGTTCGGAGACCAGGACACTCTACACTACAGGAAGCACGTCAACAAATTAGAGCAATTCCACCAAAGGGTTCTCCACAGCATAATTGGCACCCAGTGGCAAGACCGCATCACCAACACCGAGGTCCTCAACCGAATAAGCATACAAAGCATGCTTGTCAAAGCCCAACAGAGATGGGTCGGCCATGTCATCCGCAAGGAAGACCACCGAATGCCCAAACAACTGCTGTACGGTGAACTCGCAAGTGGCAAAAGAAATCTCGTGAGGCCAAAAAAGCGGCTCAAAGACACGATAAAGGAAAACCTCCAGTTTGTACAGGTTACCCCCAAAGAATTCGAAAGAACAGCCACCGAAAGGAACACCTGAAGAAACAGGGAGAAGCTGATTATCAGAAGAGAGAGGAGACATAATCCGACCACCCCAACCACGACATTTCAGTGTTCCCACTGCACAAGAACATGGTACATCCAGGATCGGAATGGCACAGCCACATGCACGTCCACAGATGAGCTGCAGGATGTCATTGTCATCTTCGGCAACAAAGGACTACCTACATGACATGACACCCATCCAGAATAAAAACCTTCTGAAATCACGTCCAAATCAAGAATATTGTACAGGTATGTACATTCATACCATAACCTACGCAGAAAGGATCCAACCCAATATTTCAACCTGTTTGGTTCTTTTTTTCCTTAAAAATGATTTTGTTTGACTATCTTTGAACACATTTGTCAGCAGAGTACCCCAAAAAAGTTGTGTCACATTCATATATTTTTTTTCTCTTCAGAGCCCAATGAGTTGAAAACAACAGCAGAGTGAGAAAAAAATAAAAATGGAAGTTTCAAAGAGCATTAACATAGCTACGTGAAATATAGGCTTATATCGTTCATGTAAACAGTAAAATACTCATAGTCTGAGCTTGATTTAACTGAGAAAGTACATCCAGTTTCGAAAAAATTGCAATTATTTCATATTGTACGTGTTTCTTCTAAAAAAGTGAGTGTCCAAAACAGAGCTGATGCCAGATATATGACACTGTCAGGTGCTTGGAAATCAAGAAATATGAATGGGCAAAGTTGAGAGCAAAGGGTATACATTGTTCTGGGAAGGAACAGACCAACGAAAGGAAATCTGACAATCTATTCAAAGGAAAAGAAAAGTGTACAGCTAAATAATTTAAGAAAGTGTGCCCTTCCATATTGGATGTACTATCCACAAAATAAGGGAAGCATATTTTAGCAGTACACAGCTAATGTAAAGTTTGCAGAGCAAAACAATTCAAGTGAGTGCCCCATATTCCAAAACATTTTTATTGAGACTTTAAAAAAGGATAAAAATTATTGCAGAAGCTATGTTCCACAAATGTGACATCTGAAGGGATCAATTTTTCCAAGAGCATAATATGTGAACAACATACGTAGCTTTAAATAACCAAATACCTCACATGGAAATGTACATTATGACCCAAACTGCGGACATACTCGTAGAACTAACTTTTTTCTCAAGTATAACACCTTCCTGAAGATAGAACTGTAGCTACATAACCACCCCAGAAAAAAATCAATGCTTTAGTTTGTTTAGTACAGGGTTTTACGGCGCTCGCAACTGCATAAGGTCATATGAGCATGCATCAATGCTTTAACTGACAGGTAGGATATGATAGGTCAGTATGACATAGGATCTATTTTCTCAGGAAAAAAATCAAAGGAACATTGAAAGGAGGAAGTACACAATTCTTGAACCCCAGCCTTCTATCCTCCTCATATCAGGCTGTACTATAATGCATTCTCTTGGCTACTTTTTTTTACTTCTTTTTTTTAAAAAATAACATAGTAGGTGTTATTGCCCCATTTGACATTATTTAATTCATTTTAAAGGCTGGCGGCTTCAACCCTGAGGGTCAGGGCCATCCCTGGCCAAGAGGGATACAACGTCAAAGCATATATACCTAGATATTCCACAGAAATTCACCCCACATGGAAATCGAATTCATGTCTTCTGTGTACAATGGAAAAAGCCAAACCACTATACACCACAGATGCCTGTTTGCTACACTTTCACCAAAAGACCTCTGGTGTAAAGTAGAACCTACTCTAATTTCCACCTGTCTTAAAACAATCACCTGTACAAATGGCCACTTCCCACTTCTCTCCTTGCATTTTGAAATTATTATGACACTGTCCAGGATGTTTACCTGTCTAAGACAGTCACTTTTCTCTTCGACAACAGGCAGCTATCTGGGACAATTTTAATTACATATGATAATATCTAGCTTAGATATATGACTCAAATAGGAATGCTTGTTGCCAAAAAGCTGACTCATTGATACACAGCACACATGAGAGGTGTTTAACTCTTTTTATCCTGGCCGACCCCCACGGACACTGTGTCCGTCCTGGGGCTGCCGTGCCATATGAGTTGGAATTCAGTGTGTATATTTCAAAGTGCTGTATTTCTTACATTTACTCATAGGTTTTAAGGAAATTTGGCAGTTATGTTAGAAACTGAAAGTAGTTTTTGTAAATGTACGTGGTTAGGAATTACACCAATTGCACCATGTAGATTTTGAGGTGTTTTCCACCCTCCAACTTGACCCTGATTGCCGCACACACAACGTCTCATTGGATTTTATAGATCTAGCCCTACTCATCGATACAGCACGAATTCCAGTACTGATTCCTTCACCATGATCTGAATCGCTATTAGATGAGTCTAAGTCTTGTTCGTTATCATCTACAATGGAATTTACGGCACTTGATTTAGAGTCACTTTCATCAAATTAGTATCATTCCCCCTCACAACCTAGCGCCACTTCAAGAAATACTTCGTCGGTCGTGAATGTGCATTTTCAAGACATAATTCAGGCTTCTACACCCATCAAAAACAAAGAAACCGCTGTTTATTGCAAAATTTAAATATTCAGACAGAGCTAACATCGCAGTGTTTGCGTATTTTGGAAATTACAAGCAGAACTAGCTTCTCTGACGTGACCATATAGCTGTTCCGAGTTTACTCGTAGCCCGGACTGGTCCTCGTTACGAGTATACTCATAGCCCAGATAAAAAGAGTTAAAGAAAGAATGCTTTCATTATTGAAAAAAACAACCCACACCTGGAAGCTATAGCAGAAGGTAGTAAATACAACCCTTTTTTTCCTGGGAACTCCACAAATCATATAAACTCAAGAATATGCTGATGTAATTATTTTTTCATTCTCTATCTCTCTATATCTTTAAAGAGTTTACAAAACTGTGAAATGTAGCTACATGCAAATATGCAAAATTTTGGTTCATCACTCGAGTTGTTTTGACACTGCAAAATATATAAGTATAATGCATTGGTCTCTTTCGTACAAAAAACCCTTCAAGCCTTACGTTTCTGGGTTGTCTGCACCATTGGACTTTGCTATGAATGCAACAGAAAAGAAAACCAAATTAAATATCGATTTGTGACAGAATCAGAGTAAGGAAAATTCTGAGTTTTAAATTTTCATTAAAAAACTTGGTTACTCTAGGTAGGACTTCATAGCTTATAATCACCTCAGATTGTGGGCTTTAAGAACTCTCCAAATTTCAAGAGTTATGAAATCAATTTGAACTACACTCACCTAGAGCCCTGTTCAGATTCTGACAATGTTCCAATATATATAGATTAAATCTTGATATTCCAGAAAGATGTGGAAAATGGTAAACTTTAGTTAATGCGATCTTTTAACGTTAGGAAAAAGAAGGATGACATGAAGAAACAGCATGGAGAAAAAATAGCAAAAACATATTTAATAAACACTAAAACCCTATCAGGGACACCCAGTGTTATAATATCAGATTATATAACAACGAACAAAATTCCAAGTGGGACTGGATGTAGCGTATGCTAAAGGCTCTCAAATTCCTAAATGCCGAATGCTGAACAGTCCCAGGGAATTCTAGACTGTTGACAAGCCTGACACTTGTATATCATCCACACTGTAAATTTTACAATTTAAACGAAGCCTCTATAAAAGGTAACATCTTAAAGCTGCCGTCATATTCACATTGGTAATAGGATGAACTATAATGACAAACAACTCAGATCATTTTCAATGAACTGACACACAGTGTGCCATAAGAGCAGCGAGGTTACTTATAAACCCCTCCACTTAACAACATGGCTATGAGCTTGAGGGCACAAACTGACAGGATGCCGGTTACTGAAAATAGCTATATAGTCAAATGTCCTCTCTTCAATTGCTGAACAATGCCACCTTGAGCAGATGAAAGGAGCAAACAAGTTTTGTAGCATATTCAATGGACTTACTTTATTAGCAACAAAATGGTCAAATTTCAAGTATTTTTCCTCTTAAGTTATTTTCCATACGAAGATCTCTTCAATTAACAAGCACTTCATTCATGAGCGAGTGTAAATCAATTCAGCATCACATATAACGTTAATTATTTTTTGCTCCCTCTTCCGAACTGTGGAACCTCAAATTTTAGAACATTTGCCAACATCAAGTTCAAAACCAACTCTGAGACAAGCTTTACATTTACAATAATACATTGGAGAAAGAGAGGGAAAAAAATTGATGTAAAGCTTCAAAACCAGGATGGTTTAAAATATCTTACATGAAAGGTTGATGACAGGATTCCTGGTTGCTGCTCCTTTAAAAGTATCCTAAAACAAAAAGAAAAAGAAAACATGCCTTTACCATTAGTTTTGCAGACATACAATTATATACGTGGGTATATCATAAGGTGGCTGCAAACTAAGTCCAACATGATAGACAAAAAAAAGTAGACACCTGATTGAGACTGACTTCCCACGAGGAATATAATATGTAATCATTACAAACAGACTTTTCTGCAATAGATTGCACAATGCATTCATAACTGATTGTAGAAAAAAATTAGCAGCTTGTACAATCAGTTTCAATCATAGTTAGGTGTACAAGAGTAACATTATTTTGCATGTCCATCCAATAACTAGTTTGTGTGAAATGAAGCCAAGAAAATAATGATACTTCCCAATATGAAAAGAAAAAAATATTTCAACGTCCAAATAAACATACCCAGCTTTTGAAAATAAAAATCAGCCAATGTTTTCAACAGTATTTTAAGATGAAGGAACAGAATAGGATGGTAACTTAAAAAGTTTAGAGATAAAGTTCAGAAGCAAAGCTGCCCACTTACAGGATACTGTCCAATGAGATGTGTGGTTAGGAACCCTCCATGGGAACCTCCAAAGGCAAACAGGTGGTCTCCATCCACAACGCCCTTTGCAATCACATCTACCATGGCACTCTGAGGGGGAAAAAAATCCATCTTATACTCTGTGCTTGTGGGTGGTTGGTGTGTGCTCTGATGTGGGTTGTCTCTTCTTTCCTGTCAATACATCTATCATCCTTATCTCACCTACTTTTTTTCTTTTTATGTTACTTTCTAGTAGCACCCCTAATCTCCAGCACTTATTTGATGTACCTGTATTGCAAGTGCTGTCAAACTCTTACTAAAACTACACCCTCTGCTTAAGGAATATATCAATTGTCACAGATTTTTTCTAAACCTACTTTAACCAAGACAGAAATGTTTTAAGTAACTCTAAACAATCAAACCTAATATCAACTGGTGAGTATCGTTTGGCTGTCAACTGCTTAGACTGTAAGGATTGCTATCAAGGCTTAATTTGAAGCGTTAAAAACTACAAGGAAAAAGTAAATGTATATTCAACCCCAAGCTTCATTTAATTTTCTAGATTGAGCACCACCATAGCATCTAAATACAACAATGAAGCATAGAACAAACATTTTCACAGAAAGAAATCCCAGTATTTCGAGTCTAGAGTTTTTTACTTTTTTATTTTTTAAATTATAGTAGAGGGTTTTACGATGCTCGCAACTGCATAACGTCATATGAGCGCCAAGAGTTTGAAAAAAAAAAATGATATAAATTTGAGAGAGAGTATAAAAGGCAACAACTATATGTAACCCAACATACCTCAACGTCCTTCACATCTTGTGTTCCAATATTCCCAGCCAGGGACAAGACGCTGTCCTGTCCAAACCCTATGGAGCCTCTGTAATTTACTGCAATGACCAGACAAGAAAAAAATGTAAACTGGAATTTGAATGGATTGTCTGACCTACAAATATCTGCGGAAAAACATAAAATAGGTCGGAAAGGAAGGTGAAATTTAACATTCACATGGTTTAATGATTTTCTCGGTGCTGTAGCAGCAAGATGTTATGGACATAAAGGGTGTGGAGCATCAAGATGAAATAAGCCACTTGTTAAAATAACGAAATCAAAGAAACCAGCATTTTTTTTCCAAGAGGGGCAATTTTATCAAATTTCATTTTTTTGGCTCAACACATTTTATGTCCATTTAAAAACATATTTCAGGGTGGAATTAATCAAAGGCAAAATAAAAGAAAATTTTAGCAATTTCCAAAGACATTCAAGCTATGGAATTTATCAAACTGTGGCAGCCATTTTCTGGCCATTTTTACCTTTGACACCTGGGCATTTTTTCATAAAAAGCAACACAAAAGAATAAGCTTTATGATGATACCAATAACTCTATATGCCCAAGAATTGACGAGCACCCGATTCCACTGTGTGATGTCACATTTACTTTTCCAAATGGTATCCTTCTTTTCTTGGCACAATTTTTCCTCATATTTCATTAATAACTTACACAGATTTGTATACCTCATACCTAATATATGATTAGGCAAAAAAATAAGAGGAAAGTGTCAATTTTGGCTAATAGAAATTCAGCATAAAATGAAAACAAAACCTCAATGTCTTGGCAATAATGACTTTCACCTTAAGGAGGAGACACAATAAGGTACCACTCTTGAAAAAGACTCTGATCTGATAGACCTATATGTTATATTGATATTAGCAAAAGCTATGATAAACCGTAAAAGATCAAATGAGAGTCTTTTGTTTTGTTTTAGTAAGGTTTTATTGCACTCACAACTGCATACGGTCATATGAGAGTCTTTGCAAGCCATCAGCTTTGAGTAGAAAAATGTGTAACATGAGAAATCAGGAACACAAGGCGCATCAATGTAAAAATGTTGAGGTAAAGATAAATCTTGTCTATAAAGCTACGATAACTGAAACAAACAACCAAAATTAACTTGAACAAGTACCAAGATTGATTGATTGGGTAGATGTTTTACGGCACTATCGACACAATTTTGGTCATTTAAGCGCCATCAGGTTTCACCGCTACAAAATCAGACGGGTTTTTAATAAAGAGTCTTTCGGAGCTCGCAACCGCAAACGATCACACTATTTCTATTATGCTAAAAAGACGAACAAACATTTATAAAAAATTTTTTTGTAAATATGGAAAAGGCTTATTTACATTTGTATATACAATACAAATTTCAGTGTATGTATATATACACCGTATGTATATATACATCGACAACGACAATTATATATTTTCACATTTTATTAAACAGTCCAATTTCTTTTATATAATTAAAAATTCTTCAAGGCTCTATGATGTCAAAAAGGGTCTTAACATCTTTACATTTAAAATATTTCCCACGGACATAATTAAAGTCGACACATTCCATTAGGATGTGCCGAACTGTGAAATTTGTGTTGCACGCCACGCAAAAAGGAGCTTCCTCTCCCTCGAGCAAATGTTTGTGCGTGACGTGCGTGTGTCCTATCCTTAGTCGGGTAAAAATTACTTTTTCTCTTCGTGGTAGAGATAGTGGTTTCCTGGGAGTAAGTTTCGGTTGAATGTAATGGAGTTTGTTGTGTATTTGTTGATTCCAAATTTGGGACCAGGAGGATGTGATGTGTTCTTTTACTTTTGGTTTCATGTCAGAGAAAGGGATTTTACTATTTTTGTTCTCAGGTAGTTTTAGAGATTCTTTGGCAAATTGGTCAACCGCTTCTTTGCCATCAATGCCTACATGGCTTGGAAGCCAAGCTATTGTAATAGTTTTTCCAGACTGATGTAGAAAATGCAGTTTAATGATAAGTTTCAAAATTCTGTTGTCGGAGGTGTCAGAGCGCTCTAAAGATTTCAGACAAGAGAGAGAGTCTGAAAGGATTAGGAAGGTAGACTTGGTTGATTGATCTATAATATTTAGGGCCATTTCAAGAGCTGTAGCCTCAGCAGTGTAGACTGAAGCTTCTGGGTGGAGTTTTCTTAAGCTTAAGCTGTGTGGCGATGCAAGGGCAGCAGCTCCTACTGAGGAGTCATTTTTGGATCCATCTGTAAAGAGTGTCTCTGCTTCAGGGTGTCTATTTATTAGCTGTTTGTATGAGTTTAAGTATGTAGTTTTGTCTGTGGACTTTTTGTTGTGTTTTTCAAGACTAGTATCTATGTTTGGTTTGGTTAAATACCATGGAGGTATGCTGGACATGGCAAAGGGCTCGATTATGTCTTCAGAAAAATCAATGTCTTTGAGATTGAGTTTCTAGGTCTTCGGGAAGGCCAAAGACACATTTGTGGGCTGGGTTTTTAGGTCTTCGGGAAGGCCAAAGACACATTTGTGGGCTGGGTTTTGGGGTACTGAGCTAAGTTTCAAAGCGTACTGCAAAGAGAGTTTTTTCCTTCTAAGTTCCAAAGATGGTTCATGCGCTTCTGCCTGTAAACTTTCTACAGGTGAAGTACGGAAAGCGCCTAGGGCAAGGCGAAGGCCTTGGTTCTGAACAGGGTCTAGAATTTTAAGGTAAGACTTTCTGGCTGATCCGTAAACAGGACTGGCATAGTCCAGCCTGGAACGGACAAGGGAACGGTAAAGTTGAAGAAGTATTTCAGTATCTCCTCCCCATTCAGGATTGGATAATACTTTAAAGGCGTTGAGAGCACTCTGACACCTCGTCTTTAGGTCTTTCAAGTGTGGTAGGAAAGAAAGTTTATTGTCGAAGATTACGCCCAGGAAACGAGCTTGTTTTTTAACAGGAATTTTCTCTCCAAACAAATATAAATCTGGTTGTCGCACACACTTGTGCGACAGACAAAAATGTACACAGTTTGTTTTTAATGTGGAAAATTTGAACCCGTGCCTGTTTGCCCAAGTTTCCAATTTATGGAGTTGAAGCTGAAGCTGACGTTCAATGTGATCCATTTTGGATTTGGATTTATAGCAGATGAGGAAGTCGTCAACGTAAAGTGAGCAGTCAATATTGTTTTGAAGGGTTTTTGTGATGGAATTGATTTTGATTTCGAAAAGAATGGGCGATAAGATGCTTCCCTGGGGGACGCCTTCTTCTTGGGTGTGTAAATTTGATAGGGTTGAACCTACTTTTACTTGAAATGATCGATCTTTCAAAAAGTTTCGTATAAATTTGGGAAGATTTTCGCGTAAGCCCAAGTCATGCAGGTCTTTCAGAATACCATGTTTCCATGTGGTGTCGAATGCTTTCTGTAAGTCGAAAAAAATAGCCACAAGGTGCTCTTTTCGAATGAAAGCTTCCCGAATGAAAGTTTCAAGTCGGACGAGATGGTCAATAGTAGAGCGATTTTTGCGAAAACCGCATTGAAAATTTGATAAGGAGTTTGAGGTTTCGAGAAACCACATTAGACGTTTGTTAATAAGTTTTTCCATAAGTTTACAGAAACAGTTTGTAAGGGCTATGGGACGGTAGTTTGATGGGTTAGAGTGATCTTTTCCTGGTTTTGGGATTGGTATAACAGTGGCAAGACGCCAACTGTTCGGAAATTGTTGAGAATGCCAGAGTTCATTGTAAATATCAAGGAGTAATAGGAGTGTTTCGTCTGGAAGACGTTTGATGATTTCGTTGTGTATTTGATCAGGGCCTGGAGCTGTGTTTGATAGTTCTGCAATATTACATTTTAATTCGTTAAGAGAAAAGCTGCAATTATAGTGTTCTTCATTTGAAGAGGTAAAATCAACAGTTGTCTTTTCAGAAGACATTTTTACTTTTTTGAATTCAGGGTTGTAATTGTGGGTAGAGGAATTTCCGGAGAGAGTTGATGCTATACAGTCAGCAACTGTTTTTTCGGTTTCTACGAAGGAGTTATTCGGTTTAAGGATGTGTTTGATTGTGTCTTTTTTAGTACCTTTTAATTTCTTTATCATCTTCCAGACTTTGTGCATTGGTGTGTTGTTGATTTTTTAGACATAATTTCGAAAAGATATTTTCTTGGCTGTTCTGATTTTTCTGCGTGCTTGGGCTCGCGCAATTTTGAAATTAATGAGGTCTTCGTTAGTTTTAGAGTTGACGAACTTCCTGAGAGCTGATTTTTTGGCCGCAACAGCTTTTTGGCAGTCTTCAGTGAACCAACATTTATTTTTTCGGGGTTTGGTGGATAATTTTGGTATGTGTTTTTGAACGATCTCGAGAAGGGTTTCATGAAATCGTTCAAAAGTATGTGTTTGTGTTTGAGATGGATTGAGTTTCTTCAGACACTCCATGTGAAACCCATCCCAGTCCGCTCTTTTAAGATTGAAACGGTCTGGGATAGGAGTTCGGGTGTGGAATATCTGGAATTAGGTTGATGGGGAAGTGGTCCGATCCGTGTGGGTCGTCCAGGACCGACCACTGAAAGTCTGGAATTAGGTCAGGATCACAAAGGGTTAAATCTATGGATGAAAAGTTTAGGTTATTTGAATTTTGAAATGTTGGGGAATTGTCGTTAAAAATACTAGTATTGGTTTTTATTAAGAAATCTTCTATGATTTTACCTTTAGTATCAGTTGGTTCATTTCCCCAAAGAGGGCTATGGGCATTAAAATCTCCCAACATGATGAAGGGTTGTGGGAGCTGGTCTCTGAGGTTTATTAGTTCTCTTAAAGATAGAGGATAATTTGGAGGGATGTATATTGAACAGATAGTTATAGGACGGTGTAGGGTGACCCTGACCGTAACTGCTTGAAGTGTTGTGTTTAGTTGTATTTGTCTGTGTAGTGTTTGGTTATTTATTAAAATGGAGTTGCCCCCAGAGGCGATTTGGTTGTCGGTGTATATTTGGTTGTAAGTTTGATAGTTTTTTAATGTGAATGTGGGTGTTGGCAATTTAGTTTCTTGTAGACAGATTACATTTGGGGTGTGTGAGGTCAAAAGATAAGAGAGTTCTGCCTGGTTTGCACGCAAACCGTGAATGTTCCACTGAAGAACTGCCATTTTAATTTATTTTGAGGGCACGGGTTCGATACATTTTTTTTGGGTCGTTGGTGACCTTTGTCTTTGTTTTGTTTTGCAGCGGTCATGGTGGACTGCAGCCTTTTTTGAGGGAGAGTGTGGAGGGGGAGGAGGACCGGAGTCCTGGATGTGGGTAGAGGAGGGGGAGCGGGTGCGGGGAGTGGGTGGAGGGGCTTTATTGGATGAAGGATGATGGGATGGAGGTTGAAGCAATGAGGGTGTAGGATGTGGTGATTTGTGTGAGGATGATGATGGGGAGGAGGTTGTGGGTGAAGATGATGGGGGTGATGATGAGAATGAGGGTGAGGATGATGAAGAGGGTGAGGATGAAGAAGATGGCTGAGAGGGTGGTGATGAAGAGGGGGTGTGGGGAGATGGCGGATGGAGAGAGGGGGAGATAGGAGTGGAGGAAGTGGACTCCATGTCCTCCTCCGTCTCCAGACTGGAGTGTTTTTTGCAGGTGTTCTGCTTTCTATTTGTCTGAAGGACCTTTCGGGTTGGGTTTACTGACCCTGGGACAGTCTTCAGGACTTCTGAATATGTTTTTGTTGTATTCTTCGGCGTCGATCCTTTTGGGTATAGCGTTGCTCTTGCTTGAGCGAACGTTCCGCCGTACTGGGCCCTATGTGTGAGGATGGCTTTCTCCTGACACCACTTCGGACACTCCGTCGAAGATGCAGAGTGACCCCCCTGTCGACAATTTGGACACCAGGGATCTGCAGAGCAGGTCTCCCCAGAGTGTCCCTCCTTGCCGCAGCGAGGACACGCTGCACCACGGCGACAGCGTAGCAGTGTGTGTCCGAAGCGCTGACAGTTGAAACAGCGCATCGGCTTCGGTATATATGGTCTAACTTCGAGTTCTAAGTATGCAATGTCTAATTTTGTTGGTGGTGTGGGTGTGTTGAAGGTAAGGATCCACGTGTTGGTACAGATTTCCTTGCCATCCCGCCGTATTTTGATACGACGAGCATGGACAATTCCATCGACCTCCTGAACCATTTCTTCTTCGGTACAGCCGCAGAGCTCTCGGCTTTTGATGACACCCTTGGATGTGTTCAGACTCCTGTGAGGCTGAACACATACAGGGATGCCACCAAACGAGGTGCAGGCCAACAGTTTGCCTGATTCAATGCTGGAACTGACTTGTATCAGGAGGTCCGTGGATCCTAGTTTTTTAAATGTATTTTGGCTTGTGAATAGGGAAATGTTTTTGTTTTAGTGATTTGTGAATTTTGAAGACGCTTAGTGTGGTTAAATTTGTGTCTTGTTTTTCATCTTTTGGGGAGATCACCAAAAATGGTGACCACCCCAATGATGTTCTCTTGGGTATGTCCCAGATGCTGACATTGTCAGCATCTTCGCCCGAAAGGCCCTTCTTTCTTTTGCCCAGGCCAGGAGTTGCACCTGCTTCTCCTGTCTGGGACTTGTTGGGAATTGGGGTGGGAGAAATGTTTTTGGTTGAATCCATGTGTATTTTGTCTTTTATTTCATCTCCAGGGCTCCCCACCCACCACCGAGTCCAACAAGGGGACACTGCTCGGAAGTCCATAGCAGGTGTCAGGGCTACCCTGGAGGTATACTCCCAATCAGACGGCAAGAAATCTTGCCTTCTAACCAAGATTGGCCAAAATCGGTTCTATGAACCGGTCGCAACCGATTGAGTGCAGTAGGCCACTGCAACCGCCCGTCTAGACCGAATCCAGGGACAAAGTGGCGTGTTGGTGAGGAAAGCCACACCTCAGCCACCTGGGTCCCCTTCTCCGGTCGTACGGGTCGCACCCCACGGTCAACGGGGTGCCCCGCGTTGCGGGGGTTTGGTGTCTATTCTTTGCTGGACCGGACCTAGATGGATAGAAGACATAGCAAGAGCGGACAAAAGATGCCACCCCTACGTCAGAGAGCTAGTGATGTACGAGTGGTATCCCACCAGCGGGGGGGTTACACCCCCTGTTGATGGGACAGCCAACTATTTTTATTTTATTCCCCGGTCAGCTCGGGGAAGGATGAAAGAAGAAGGAAGAAAGACGATAGAAGACAGATGATACACCAAAGCAAGTGTCGCCCATGTGCACCTGAGCGTAGATGTCCATGGGCGACAAATCGCCAGTGAAGGGGTTGCACCTCCTGCTGGCGGAGCAGTGGGTCTATTCATATCCCCCCGACCCACTGGGGGTACAAGTACCAAGAGTTTAGATTCGCTTTAGTAAGAGTTTAATGGCACTCACAACACATAATTATAGGTCAAATAAGTGCCGAAGATTGTTGTTTGTTTAGTATAGGGTTTTACGGCGCTCGCATCTGCATAAGGTCATATGAGCGCGCGGGACACACCTAATACTTTTTCGTTGGTAGGAAATTTTGAATTTTGCCCGGGTGGCGGCCGAAGCCTACTCTTATCGATTTTAGACCACCAAGGGATCTTTAACGTGCGCAACTTGCACACGGGCCCTCCGAGATTTTTGGCCCTTGTCCGAGAAGGCTAGGTGTAGATCTTTCCTACCAGAAGATCAGGGGTGTGGCAGAAAGACAGCAGTTAGGAGGAGCCAAGGAGTAGCAGTAGAAAGGCTGCAGAAAGAGTCAGGAGCCCAGAGGAGGGGGCAAAGGAGGTGAGGGGGTGGGGGCAGAAAGTGGAAATGAAAGCAGACAACAGAACATTGTTAGAGATCAGGAAAGGATGTGAAAGGAGACAATTTTAGAGAAGAAAATTTTTTGGTCGCTACCCGGAATCGAACCCGGGACCTTTGAATGAGAGGCCAACACCTTAACCTCTAGGCCACGAGAGCCCCGTGCCGAAGATTAGAGGTGTTACAAGAGAGTAACATACAAAGAAAAGAAGCAAGAGAGATAAGGACTAGACCAAACTCCACCACAACACCCACCAACCACCCATTAGTACCATAAGGCATTAAACTTCAGTAAAAAGAGTAAACAATAATTGAAAAAATAAGAGGTAAAAAGCAAAACATTGAGATTGCAAACTCACCCATCACAACAGCAAAACCACAACGACAGAAGAAATTCGTGGCCATCACAAAAGACGTGTCAAACACTGAATTTGGTCCTCCTGAAAAAAAAATGTCCAAAAGCATGAAAAGATTTGATAAAAGCCTAAATTACTTCCTGGCAGGTTATACACTCTCAAAACAAATGCTAGATGTTTGATAAATTTTAGTTTGACCAAAGTTTTACAACATTCACAACTGCATAAGGTCATATGAGTGCATGGTATGCAAGTCGGTTATTTTCATCTTAGTTCATAGCATGGCTTGGTTTTTACTTTGCAAGTTGGAGTGGTTGAAGTATCTAAAAATATAAGGTGAAAATTCAGTTTTAAAAGCAGCAATTTAGATTTTTTCAAATAACACTATTTACATTTTGGAGTAAAGACAAAGGGCTTTTATAAAAACAAGAATTCGTTTAGGATCAACAAATCAGTCAGAATCAGTCTCAGGCTCTGCAGAGAAAGGTGTCAAATTACTTTACAACAACCACTCTCTAATTACTGGCAACAGAGAAGCAAGCTTCAGGTGGCCAGGACCACAAGCACTGACCATTACACTTACCATGTGAAAACACAATCAGAGGTGGCTGTACATCTTTATTTGTCTGCTTTGGAAGACACAATATGCTTTCGTAATCCAGAGAAGCTGCAACACACATCATCAAATGTATAGAAACAAAGCAAGAGGAAATAGATACTTCAAAAACAACTTTTGTTTTAAACAAACAAACAAACAAACCCAAAAACAAAAAAACAAAAAAACAAGAGCCCTTTTCGAAAAGAGAGGTACTTTATTTCTAGCAAAATTCCATAAAGACACCTTAACCACATTTAAAAACCCACCTTCTCACTGTTCATGAAAGCAAAAGTTATGTCCTGTTCACTTCACTAGGAAAATGCTCTTCACATTTCTAATTTAAAAAAAAAGAGATCCTAATAAATTTCAAAAGTCAGTATGATTGTGAATTTATCAACCATGCCCCAAGGCAGTTTATAACCCAGTTTTTACAAATCTCTCTACTCAGATACATCTCTTGTAAGATCTAAAAATAATTTAAGACAGTGGAAGTAACTTTGAAAAAGATGCTCTTATACAACTGCTGCAAACTCTTTTGTCATTTTGAATAGGCTGAAAACCATACATTCTCAAGCATTACTTAGTCAGAGAAAGAAATTTAGCATTTTTTAAAAATCAAGCATCATCCATCATGAAAGACAATACTATGAGCGGATGATGCCCGATATTGGAAAACATAAAGAAACCAACAAACATTAACAAAGAACATAAAATGATTGATTATGATGACATAAAAAAAAAGATAACGAAGGATCTTGACTCGATCATCTTAATCTTCTCTTTCTCTCCGTTCAAGACTTTGTAAATGAACAATTTCATCATTTCTAGAGGGTAGATAGATTCTGTTGAATTCCAACTAATCTGAAAGTTTTTGTCTGTGATCTTGCTTTTTCCAAGTGCTTAACTTTATTTTTCTGAGCAACAAATGATTAAGTCATGTTGCAGTTATCTAGAAATGGGAATAAGCTACCAAGATAGGCATAAGAAAACCCCCCCAAAAAAACTCAGGCGAAGTCAAGAAAAAGCACCACCAAATCAAATGCTGGTCAGCTAGTGAGGAACAGAGAAGAATTCAAAGGACAAAATTTGAAAATGACCATTCACTTCTCACGGAACCACAGACATATCATCATCATCAATCCCATGGTCTTGAAGAACTTTGGGGCACCATAGATGACTTAATTTATCTCATTCCACTCCTTCCTGTTGTTGGGGACTTTCTCAAGGCCTGTCCACTCTGTGGTGCTCTCCCATCTTTTCTTCTGCCTTCCCCTCCTTTTGCCTCCTTTTACTGTGCCCTGCACGACAGTTTCAAATAGTCCACTTGATTCTTGCAACTACAGACATATTATAGAAGGAAGTAAATGAAGAAGGATCAGCTTACCATACTTGGGGTTCACTCTGTCTGACGAGGGTTTGTGAGTAAGCACTGACCAGTCCAGCCAGGCCAGGGAGCTGGGCTCTCCGTCAGGGTACACCCACTTCACTTGACTGAGGTCACTCAGGTCAGGCACTTGGGCCAACACCTGCAGGCATAACAAAATAGTAATAAAATCATAGTGCAACATTATTGCAGACATACCAGCTGCAAGTAAAAGTGAAAGAAATAATTGGAATGACCCCTCTTTCTAGCAAAAAGCTATTAAAAGTTTATACAGGCGTAAATCATGCATATGAAATGTATAGATCAAACGAAAAATAAATGAAAGCTCACTGTACAAAGTAACAACATGATATATAAAATATGTGGGCTTTGTTTGTGGAAGAGTAGGAAAATGTTTTTAAAAAGTAAAATCTTATAACAAATGATGATGAAAATATATGTGTTACGACACAGTGGAATCAGGCGCTTGTCAATTTTTGGGCATGTGGAGTTACTGGTATTGTCTTAAAGCTTGCTCATTTGGCTTGCTTTCAATGGAAAAAATACTCGTGTATCTTGAATATAAGTCGAGAGATTTGCAGTTGAAGGAGGTGGGGATCACCAGGATTCAGAGTAAAATAAGTGAGAAAATGGTCACCAGAGTTTAGTTACTTCAATAGATTCAGTAAAATTCAAATGGAAATGAGTTTTCACATGGACATGAAAGGTACTGAGCCAAAAAACAAGAATGCGATAAAAATTGCCAAACTGAAGGGAAAATGCTGGTTTCTTTTAATACATTATTTTGACGAGCTCCCTAATTTCACCACGATGCATCACATATTAAGATGCTCCATCATTGTGGAACTCGGTATTCATCTTTTTTTGAAAGAGCAGAAGAAGAGTCTGGGAAGAGACAAGAGACTGGCCGACATACTCACCAAGTGGAAAGGTTCACATGGAGAAGAACATGTGAGAGCAAGCACGCCATTTTCAACGCACAGCAAATTCATGGAGCCTTTTTCTGTTTCTGGAAAGACACAATTATTAGAGAGAAGCTGTTATTGTATGAACAACTACAGCATGAGCTCATTTTAACAGTTTTCGATGCCTGGCCTTCTATAATTAGTCCAATAAGCATCAGACATGAGGCAAGTAAATAATCCAATCTTGAAAGACACACAGTAAAAAATAAAATCAATAAAAACGGATATCAAAGGAATAGTTAGCAGATGTTTATTAAACAAAAAGTTAGAGTCACTTGTTCTTACTTCCCACAAACTATCCTGGAGAGTAAAGTACACGTCTTGACAATGTCCTGCTCAATTCCATCTGACCATCCCCATATTCCTGTTTCTTTGCCTAAAGCTGCTGCACTGATTCAATTTTTTTAAAATACAAATTGTAAATGATAAAGGAAAGACATTTACCTTTTCGCAATCGACGTACTTCTTGACTTTTTGTATTGATGATAATCACAGCCTGAAAGAAGGATATTTTGAGTCACCATAGTTACAAAGAAATCATTCCAATTTTCTGAACACAAGGAAAACAAATACAAATCAACATTTCCACAGCCAGTGGCACATTATAGAGCAGAGTAATTCTGCAAAATATCATTTTGCTGCTGATTCTAACATGCACATAACAGCCGAAAACAACATCTGCAGCCACAGTCTTTCCCTTGCTAAAAGTGGGCCAAGACTTATGGAGTCTGCCATCCTCTGTGCTGCAACAGGATATGATCACACAGCATTAGCTGAAAAATGTTAATTTTTCTTATTTTCTAGACAGGGAGACTAGTGCATCAAATTATTACTTAATAATAATATACATGGCATTTATATAGCACTCAGCCCCACTGAAAGTACACAGGCATTCCCCTTATTTCAGGAACTCTTTGACATTACACCACTAGATAAATAAATGTGACAGACAGGAGGGTCTTTCTTGTGCTGTCACACAAGCACACATCATGCAGGAATATTCCTTACAGACGAGCTTCTCCAACTTGTTTCCAGAGCCAGGTGAACATTGTCATCAAACCACAAAGATCTGGCAACAGAATAGGTGAAGATACCAGGGAATTCTGAAGCTGTGAGGACACAAAAAGGAGAAACATGTTTCATGTACATTTAAAAAATAGACATGGTAAAATATTAGTCAGATGGTATCTTTGACAAGAAACCACAAACCAGAAAGATAATAAGTAATGTTAAAAATCAAGAGAATTCCTACACAAAAGAACACACATTTGATCATGTTACAAAATTCTGTTCGTTCTTTCAAATAAACCTAAAGTAAAGAGTGGTTATAACAATCAGTATCAGAATCCACAGAAATGCTTTCCTGTTCACTAATTACAAGCGCAACTTCCAGAAAATCAATGCAATTCATTAAACTAACTGATTTTTTCCAGAAAAATGGCTATTTCGCGCCCAACAAATCATCCATGTACTTTACTTTAGCTCACTAACACAAGACTTTAAAGTAACAGGAATTGAACAAAATCAATTTAAAGGCAGTGAGTAGTCTGCTCATCATTTGCATGAAAATGATTTGGAACAGTCAATTAGTACAATGTAAGGTAAAAGTGACTGGCTTCAACAAGACAGGTGTAATAATAATTCTTGTAATAATAATAATGATGATGATGATGATGATAATAATAATAGTAATAATATTTTAGGATAACTTTGGGGCTTCCACTATGCCCAATGAGACCAATTCTTGCAGAGAAAATTGCCACATTTTGAACATTTTAAAACTTCATTTCCACTCATGTAAGTGCACAACTTGCAGGCTTCTCTCTTGGCTTCAGCATTTTTAAATGCAAACAAGACAGGTGTATTCATATATATAACAATCAACTCGTTTACCTAGGGCATTGGAAACCTCATCTACAACGATGCTTCTTGCTTGTGTTGCCCAGTCAATCTGGAACAAAAGAAATAAGACTGAAAAAACTTTTGCGACATACTGTCGAAATTGTCCATGACTGTCACCCATTGTCAATGAGAAAAATGGTTGTCTTAGAAATGTGTATATCTTGGATAATGTCATTATAATAGAAAAAAAAAACGCAAGGGGGAAAAGGGAGAAGTGGTCATTTGTACGGGTGACTGTTTTGAACAGGTGGCTGTTAGAGCAGGTTTGACTATATTTGAGAGCTCAAGATGATTGAAACAAAAACCATAGCAGGAAATGGAGAGAGAGATTCCTTTCATTCAAAGGATTTTGACCTGTTGAAGACAGAAAATGCTCTGCCCACTCAACCCTGATTTAAAACAAATTTACGATCACGGGGTCACTTTTCCAGTTTCACCCCTGTGCAGGTTGGTCCTCTGGATCCCCCCCCCCCCCCCACACACACACCAACCGCAAAATTTCTCCTGTCCAAGACAGAGAACGTACAAGATCTATTTTTTTTCTGGCTCCCTTGCAATTCCATCTAAAGACAGGTGCGACCATATTTTAACAACATTGCACAGTCCCAAAATTATTTTCAATTTTAGAAAGCATTTTAAGGCACTTGCAACATAATTAGGTCATATAAAGGCCGAAGATTAGAGGGGTTACAAAGAAGAAACAAACACACAAAAAAAGAAGGAGCAGAGATAAGGACAATACGTATTTGAAAGGAAAGAGGGAGCAAACCACACCAGAGCACCCGCTAACCACCCACTCCAAAATTATTGTCAAGTCTAGAGAAGTGGTACTCCTATTTTGAAAAATATATCTTTGACCTTTAACATCAGTTTACCTTGATGAGACGAGAACACTGATTGTGAGGCCCTCCCACAGGGGTGTCCAGGTACACAAGCGTGCTCATGTCAGGGCTGAAGCGAGGGAATCTCACACCTCTGCCTTCCTCACTCAGGATTTCTGTGAAACATACAGTAAAAAAAAAGGTACTACCATTACTGTATGATACCTGCTCTAGCATAATCAAAAAGATTCATAACATAATAAATACTTAAGGTAAAAAGAAAAGTCTGGAACAAAAAATAAAATCCAATACACAGAGGAAAAAGTGTTGGCCAAAAAACACTTTAACTTTTCACTGTAATTAATCCTTTTCACCTTAAAAAGTTGTGGAATATACTTAGAGAAAGGTGATGTAAGACGCTACTTTTAGCTAACGATTGCACCGCATTGTTCTAATATCTGTCTGCTGTCACTCTTTCCTGTTGCACCATCTTTGAATCAGCATTCTGTTCTCGCAACAAACATTGACGACTCATTTATGAGATTGGTGGTATATAGAGGAGCAACAGCACAGGATTGCCAATATGAAATAAGTTTGAAAGATATAGTGACAGGGAAGCTTTTTGGTGCCTGGTTTTAAATCTGCAAAGTAAACTGTTATTCTTTTCATTACAAAATAAAAAGGGACAGAAATAGTTCAACAAAAAAAGTAGCCATGGCTGATAGAATCTTTGCTACAGCAGTTTGAATCAACATTTAAAACATCTTAATAAAGCTCCATCCATTGCAGACATACCGACTGATCCTTTCTGGATGTCCAAATAGTAAATGAAGCTCCTGAGAAATAAAGAAAAACAAAAAACAAAAAAATGTTAAGGACCCTAAAACGTTAAAAAAATTTGAATTTAAAAAGTATATAATTTTTTTCACATCATAATGCTACACACCATATACGTTTGTTGAGTTGCCCACCGTAGGTATGAGGGTAACACTTCATGTCAGCTTAAACACGTAGTGTTACTGTGAATTGATAACACCATAAATATTTAAATTAATTGTTAGTCAGACTGTTCAACTTGAGCTATTCAAGACATTTATCCTTCCTTCCTTCCTTCCTCTGGCTGGCCTCCGTTAGGAGGGCGGCAGTCTGCAGGTACACAGGTAAGCGGCAACCTCTTGTGGCCTCGTCCAGAGTACATCCGGGCCCGGTCTCGCGTTGTTCTCCATAAGTGGGCCTTGATGTGCTTCCCCCCTCGGGCACTCATACAGTAAGTGCTGCAGGTCGTCAGGACTTGTGCCACACGCCAGACAGGAATCATTGGGAGCGGAGCCTATTGCATGGAGATACGTCTGCAGGATGGGGCTCTTCGCGTTGCATCTTAGCAGCGATAACACTCTTCTCTGTCTGACGGTAAGGTCTTTCTCTTTGTACCTCTCCGGTGGTGGCTTCACCTTTCATCCGACGGAGTCGTGCACTCGCGTTTTCTCCCATGCGTGGGCAATGATGCAACGTGAGATGCACGAGCTTGCTGACGCGATATCGACTTGAGTGTGGGACTGGTCGAGGGGGCCTTCCTTGTTGGCCAGGGCGTCAGCTCGGTCGTTCCCGTAGATGTCGCAATGTCCTGGTATCCATTGTAGGTGAAGGTGTCCGTGGATTTCACAGCATTGGCAGACATTTATCCTCTATTTCATCATTCTTTTTTAAAATTGTTTTTGGATAAATAAATGACATACAGTGTGCATTTTCCCTTCAGAGCGCAGTCTTAAATTGATAGTTTGTCCTTGATCTAGTTAAATCCTTGACGGGCAAAATGTCTTAAACTAAGTGAGGGTATATGTTTTTATTTTACATGTGGCTCTGATGATAAAGGTAATTTTGAAAAAGTTGATGTTAACAGGGACCATCATCAAAACAATATTCTGATTCATTAGAATATATTCTAGCTCCCTTTGAAGCAAGTTTGGATTCAGCTATTCAGAGAGACTTGTGTTTTGATTTTATTTTAATATACATCTAGATTTAGAATCTAGATTTTGAAAAAGATGAGTTACAGTGATGCTGACATGACATGCCTACCAGTAGTTGTGTATCTAGTGTAGAGACAGGAAATTGAGTTATTTAGCACTGTGTAAAAGAGTAATAATGATTCAGAACCTGAATGTGAAGTGCAATTGACCCATTTTGCTCTTCTTAGTTTTTCAGCCTCTCAGTTCACTTTAGTTTTTAGTAAGAATTTAAAGGCACTTTCAACACAAAAAGGTAATTTAAGTGCCGAAGATTAGAGGTGTTACAAGAGAGTAATATATGAAAAAAAAGGAGAAGTATGATACATGCTTGATAGGAAGGAAAGAACAGACCACATGAGAGTGCCCACCACCACCCATGCATCCTCTCAGTCAAGTTGTTTGTTGTAACACTGTGTTATGTATTACTGTTGTATTACAGGCACAATATACACTCAAAATCGTCCAGGATGGCCACCCATTGTCAAAATGAAAAGCAGTTGTCTTAAACAGGTTGGCATCCTTGACAGAGACCTTATAATATTTCTTTTTTTTTTTACCCAAAGGGGAGATGGGAAGTGGTTGTTTGTACAAGAGATTTTCTTGAAACTGCTTACCGTTAGAGCAGGTTCACTCGTAATTATTTAGAATGTAAATCAATCTTTCAGTATAATACCCTGTATGTATCTAGGGAGCAATTCAATTCTTCATGTAATGAAGTTTCAATTAACCAAAAAACCAAAATGTTTTCTGAAAAGCCCCTGCCCACAATAGAGTGATTTTAGAGAAAAGGATCACATAACTATGAACAGTGCCACCAGAATGCAGTAGAATTCTAACAAGTTTATCATAGAAGAAATAAGAAAAGTCAACTTTACATACAACTGGTCACCATAAACCTTCAAACAAGAAACAACAAAATGGAACCCAACATATTCCCAAAACTTCAGTTTTAAACTTCTGGGACTTTCTGCACACGCTGAATCCTTAATAAGATTCTCCATCCAGAAGGCAAACTGAACTCACTTCCTCTGACAGCAGAACTTGAGTCCCAGCCTGTACGGCTCATGGGACCAACCACAGGCTACAACACCAGCGTCATCCGGTGCCCACATGGCCTGCCAGGAAAAGAGGAGATATTATAAATGTTGATCAATTAAAGATATACTTAGATTCTCTCTCTCCCTCCCTCATTCCCTCCTTCCCTCCCTCCCTCCCTCC